CAGCGGCGGCGCGACTCAGTGCGGCAGCAATGTAACGGGCATTTTTTTTTTAAACCCAAGAAGGTTTTAACAACACAGGACAATAACAATGCGCTGCAGCTTTCCACCCGCGGCCCTGAAAGGGTGCAGACAGGAGGGGCTGCTGGTCGTTACAGGTGGAGGGTCCCAGGTAGGTTAGGCTGGCGTCTTGGCCGGGAACATAACCCAGGCCTTGGTGTAAGAGAAGAATTGATTTTTGCAACGGTGTTGTCAATGGACACGAACAAAGCTGTACGTATCCCGAGCAGGCCAAGGATGAAAAGGCTGGGTAGGAAATCCTGTGTGCGCAACATGTCAGGTGAAAGGAATAGGCCAGGTACAAATACAGGCTGGAGGAGATGCCTACCAAAAGCTATGTGTGGAAAACAGTGTAGGTGATTGACCCAAGCTGCAAGCAAGGTGGCAATGTTGTCTGTTGTAGCATTAAAGCTTTTAAAGTCTTGAATTTTCACAAATGATAGGCATTTAAAAGCAGTATAACCAATTGGCCCAGGTTTTATATCCTCATAGCTTACAAAGATTAAGAATTTGTTCACGTTTCATTCATAAAAGGATAGGAAAAGAAAGGAAAATTGTGTTTACAGAATAATTAAAAAGATATTTCAATGACTTGAAGAGAGAAGAAAAAAAGAATGAGAGAAAGGGAGAAGGTGAGCTGATGGCATGTTCCTTTCTAAGGCATGAGGTTGTTCATTCTTCAGTAGCTTATTCAAGTAGACAGTGTGTTATGGTAAAAGAAACGTTGACGAAAGAAGTGGAATGTTTGCCTGCTTGATCCACCTAGGACATCAGTGAATAGAAATAATGTTAATCCACTGATAATATTTCTGAATGTCTCTATGCGTAATCTTAGATGTGTTCCAGATTTTTTTAGTATTTGTTAACAGTACCTCTCCAATGATTAAATACGTATATAATTTTCCTTCCTTCCTTATGAATGAGTTCTGGTGATGCTCCATTACTATCCAGGTAGAATGAGACTGTAGGAAAACTAATAATATTTCTTCTGAAAAATTTGTGTCTAGACAGTAGGCCAAATGGCAGGCTGCCCACAGAGCACATCCGAGACTCAAAGTTAACATCTGGCAAGTTTGGTCAGCAGTTGTCTATATTAATAAAAACATAATCAGAAAGCAGAGATGAACCCAGGGTATAAAAGTAGCCCATCCACATAACCAGTATGCCCGTAGGTGGTTTGATTGGTAACTTTTCTGTGAATTACCTGCTCATCGCTCCTCCAGTATTATTTCTCCCCCTTACTAGTGCACCTTCACGACTTCCTTTGTTTCTGCTGATAGCTGCCAACTATTCACTTCATAATTCTAAACAGAAATTAAGCTGACAAGAGTTTTACAAAGTGGGAGTGAAAGGGAGCCTTACTTGAATTATACTAGTTATCAAACTGGTCTTGCAGCAACGCAAGAAAAAGCTCATTAATTCCCCTGAGATTATATATGCACACATCTGGATAAGCTTTTTGTTTGTTAGACAACCTGTGCTACCACATCTGACTGCAAATGTGGAAAATACAGCAGAGCACTGGTAGTGTCTCAAGTATAATATATTGTCTGCCTCCTGGCAAAGGCTGGTTTCATTACCTATTCCAACAAAACAAAAAAAGTGCCTGATACTGTACATTTGGGAAGTTGGTGAGCCTATGATGAATCAAGAATATAATTTGTTCTCGCTCTGGGTAAATACTAAGAGTGAGGCTTAGGCTGAATGCTTTTCTCACAGCACACTGTCTTAGCACCGTTGTTGTGTCTGCTCTTCCTAAGAGATAACTGGCAGTGGAGAGCTGTACGGAGGCAGGCTACAGGGAGTGGATGTTTTAGCGCCTGTGTGTCAATAGCATTGGTAAGTAAGGAGGTGACGGTGATTTGGTAAGGTCTCATATCTCTGTTTTTTTTCACTGAGGTCAGATACAAATCCTCTGGCCTGGGGGACAAAGGGGAGGATGCTCTGCTTGGTGAGTAGCCCCCCCCTTACATTACATGAAAGCATGCGTGCCACACTGGCTAATGAGGCAAAGAGAAGGAATGAAGGTGCAGGAGAATCAGAGTCCTGCGAGCCTCCTTGTTTCCTTCCAACCCTCAGAAAATGCATTTGTTTATTTTGAATTGTGTTTCAGATTTTTTTTTTGCGATCCAGAAGACTGGAGTTACACTACCTGTAGTGATTACTGCTTGCTGGAAAGGTTCTTCTCTCAGGATGAAGGTGAGCATAAATTCGGTAAAGAAAGCTTTAATTCTATTTCTGATCTGAACTTTGGGCCAAGTTTCAGATCTGGAGGGAGAGAAGTCAGCTATGTTTGTAGGTCCAAAGATTAGATGCAAGAAATCAAGGGTTTAGAGTAACAATCAAGAGATTAGGTACTCATGGATTGGTTAATACACAAAGGTTTTCTGGCATAACTTCAAGTGGCAATATGAATACCAGAGTCTCATAGCATGTACACACAGAAGCGGGTATTAATGGATGATTAATTGTTAAATTTGGTATAGTAATACCTCTCAAGTATTTTTTTGTTTGTTTATTTCTTTTTAAAAGAGAAAAGTCACATTTAACTGGAAAGGAAACAAAATCTCTGTATTATCCAGTTAGGATTCTCCAGCCTTCTGACGAGTGCCCAGGTTAACTCATTTTGAGTCGACACAGGCGTATTTTGCCAAAACCTGTGGGGAATGCTGACTCAGGATAAGGCAAAACCCACAAGGCATTGAACTAATTGTGCAATGCTTTATGTGGAAAACTGACTTCCTGATTCCTGCATTAGCTACCAGTGCTTTGAAGCATGGTGTTTGAATGTTTGCATTGTATACTTATCATCCAGATAAAAATATTAAATGTATAAGTTGTTATATCCGCATATTATATACATACATTCAGATTTAACTGTTGTATTCAGTTCCTCTTCTCCCTTTTTACACTGTATGATCAATCCGTTTCAAAAGGGATGATTCTCATATACACTTCTGGATTCCTTAGTGTTTGAAATGTCATCCACCAGCTCACAGGCATTCATTTCTACTGTGAACCCCTTGTTCTGAGAGATGCTGAGTAGTGGCTGTGTAGCTGGAAAACTGTGCAATGAATTTCTAGCACACTGAGCTGTTTGAGCTGACTGAAATGCAAGCTGTAAATGTATAGTGCAAGTGGCTGCAAGTCCGTAAGTTTGGGAACGTTTCTGCAGCTTTATTAATCTGAGGCTTTACAAGCAGCGTAGACCATTAATAGCATGTTTGATTGTCTCAAAATAGATGAGGTTAATACCAAGTTTACCTCTGAGGGTTTTGACATAATCCCAGGAAAATGGCTTCTGATGGAAACTGCGTTGATGAAAACTAGCCACAAAATCCAAAAATTCCAAAATCCAAAATTTGTAGAGTAGGATGAACGGTCAGTCCTAGATCAAAAGTACATTTATGTATGGGAGCCAAAGGTGTTTTCCCATGGTGGGAATATCTTGGAGTCTTGCAGGCTGGTAGACCCTGCCCTCCTTCTGCAGAAGCTTAGAGAAGGTCTGACAGAGGCCCCAAGACCCTTGGACTCGTATAACCCCACAGTGTTCAGCACATCAGGATTTCTAAAAGGAGTGCATTTTATACCACTAAAGGCCAGAGAGGGCCTCTGAAGGGGTTTTATTATACCCCTGACTTTTATTCCTGTTAAAGGCTACCTATACTTTTGACTAGCTGGCAGACTGATAATGCAGCTGGGTTGAACAAGTGTCACTTTAATTTTTACACAGTTGCAGTGTCATATATGTGGAGGTGAGCAAAAGCACAGGTACAGGGAATGAAGTATACAAACCTACCACAGAATGGGTCTGTATCTGTTACAGGACATTAAACATGCTAAGCTACAGAAGTATACTTGAAAGTCCAGTTCGTTTAGGTTAACACCAAAACATGGTTTTGCCAGGTGCTTACAGCCAATGCAGATTCAGTTCCTGGGGTGTGCAATACAGTGTACGGTGGCATTTCAGAGTTTGCCAGTGTATAGAAGGGTCGTAGCATTGCAGAAGGTTTATTCACTTAGGTAGAACATGTCAGAAGAGACCCAAATGGGAAGTTTTTCTATGCTGCCTCGGATAACAAGGTTAAGAAAAAAAGTGACAATTTAAATAAATCAGATGTTTTTACTGAAGATTATGCTGTCATTTTCTCCAATTATTCTTGACATTTCACCCTTTCGTATTGTGATCCGAGTTAATAATGGAAGAAAAACCATCTCTTGTTGCCGTGTTTATTCTTTGTTCTCAAGGAGATAAGCTGTTTGTAAAGATAAGTTATTTGTTATTTAAATCACTTTTACTGAAGTTGTTTGTTTCCTTGTTTGGGTTTCTAAAAATATTGCAACAATTGCGATGCATCTTTGAGATGTCTATTCAATTCCCTATGATTTGTACTGGAATTCATTCCTAAATGGGCACAGGTGTTGATAGCTATAACATGCTAGAATGAGTCAAAACCAATATATGCTCAATAAAGGAAAGATGAAAGAAAATGCACTGAAAACAGCTCTTTTAAGATGTGATAAATTGGCACTTCAGTTCACTACTTAATTAGGTATATAGCACTGAAGATGTGTCTGGAGCAGCTACGTATTTTAAAGCAGCTGAACATGTTAGAACATAACTTCAGTCACTGCTAATATTTTCAAGATCATAAACATTATTTTTAAAATTAGCAATACTATTCAGGATACAATCAACTTCTGTTTGCAAGCTGATCCGTAGTGCCCTGAGGCAACACTTTGCTATACTCTTATAAAAAATAAGTTGACTAATAGTCTATGAAAATTACTTGCTCGCTTTCTCATGTTGCGCAGAAATTTAATGCTAGAATATGACATAGGAATTCGGACGTTGCGAACCCAGAAGTCCGTTAAAGCATTTCTTTTGCGCTTTTACCATGAGCGGACAATTTGTTCCCTATTCCTCGCACAGTGCGCTCCGTAGGCAGCATCTTTTGAAGCCCCATCCTGACCTTTGGCCGCTTCGCTGAGGGGAACGGAGGGCCAGCCGGCGAACAGGTGAGTATTACAGCTAGCGACTCCCAGGCGCCGGTGCCCTTCCACTGGAGCGTGGGCTGTTGTGCCTTGCGCCTTTCTGCCAGAAGGCAGGAGGTGGTGGGATAGGGCCGGTGGGTACCTACCAAGCGAGGCAGGCGGCTGGCGTTTGTTCTCCCGAGGAGCTCTCAGGAGAACCGAGAACTTGATGCTGTCAAGGACGAGGCTTACTGTGCGCTGAGCACACACCGGCCGTACGGGGCCGCGTCGGCCTCTGAGGTTCTGCATTGTCTGCAGGGGAATTGCCTTTACGTTAGCCTGTCTTGCCGTCGTGGTTTACACGTACACTCGCAGGCGTAAGAGTGGCCGTACTGCCAGCGTGCAGATAGGCTGTGACTCCGGCCAGGAACAGCTGCCCTTAATATTTGATGGTCCACGCTTTTAAAGATAAACAACACAAGCCAGAAGTCATTGACAAATGCAACTTCAGCTGCCGCAGCCCCTCAGTGCCGGCCCGGCTGGCCGGAAAGCTGCTGCGCCGGGCACAGCCGCGGTGCCACTGGTGACACGCCAGCTCTCTGGGAAACCCGAGTGCGTGGGTACGAGCGGCGAGGCACCACCAACGGCACCAGCGTGGCACCGGGGCTCTGCCCAGC